CAGATCAAGTCCAACAAGAAGAGGATATCTAAAACGAATGCAACAGTTCTGGAAAGAACAACATCCAGAATCAGAAATAACAGAACAGAGACTAGCAGATCAACCCCGATTTATAACACGAAATAAAATATTCACAGAAACAGAATTGGACGAACTGCAAAGGTTTACCCAGGACAAAGAAATCAAAGCCTTACCAGAAGTAATTCAGAATGTAGAGGCAAACCAGGGGGGGTTGGCAGTGAAGGAATCTAGCAGAGATATACAACTATTCTCATTTGGAAACCAGGCACCTCTACCTCAGGAAGAACAAAACCCTCTAACTAAAGAAATAAAAGAACTGAAACAAAGAATAACTGAGCATCTAGAACAGCACAAAAACAACAGAATAAGGCTACCTGCATTGAAGCTTGTTCCAAAGAAACAGCTAGCACAAGCATTAAAAGATGCAAATACTGCAATAGCAAGTATAAGCACCAATTCACTGCAAGAAACAAACCAACTAATGTACAGCACAGCTGCAGTTATAACAGAATACCTGGGATGCAAAATCAACAAAGAAGAAAAACAAACAAACAGTGCACCAGAAAAATGGAAGGTTAGACTAGAAAATAAGATCAGCAAGTTAAGATCACATGCAAGCAAGCTAGAACAGATGAAAGAAAAGAAGCTGAAGAACAAGAAGACCAAAGAATACCTAATCAAGAAATACCACTTAGAAACAAGGAAGATCAAGGAAGCACTGGAAATAATAAAGCAACAAATAACAGCTATAGCCAGGAAAATCAGTAGATATGAAGCTCGAATTGCAAACTATAGGCAGAATCTCCAATTTCAATCCAATCAGAAACGTTTCTACCAATCCATCAATGGAGAAACTGCAAGGAATCAGTCAGTACCTGACAAGGAAGAAACAGTGCAGTTCTGGAAGCAGATATGGGATAATCCAAAGAAATACAACAAGGATGCGGCTTGGTTAAAAGAGGTGGATGCAAATAAAACAGAAGTTGAAATGAAAGAACTAGTAATAACAACAAAAATGGTAGAAAAAAGAGCAAAGAAAATCAAAAATTGGTCAGCACCAGGTGAAGATGAACTGCATGGGTTTTGGTTGAAACATCTAACTGTTATACACCCACTCATTGCCAAACAGTTCAACAATATACTACAAGGAGGAGAAATTGAAAAGTGGCTAACAACTGGGAAAACCTACCTAATAATGAAAAATCCAGCAAAAGGGGCAACACCAGGTAACTACAGGCCAATTACCTGCTTACCAACAACTTTCAAATTACTAACTGGTGTGGTAGCTGATGCAGTACAACAGCATCTAGTTGAAAACAATCTCTTTCCACCTGAGCAGAAAGGAAACCGCCCCAATAGCAGAGGAACAAAAGATCAACTCCTAATAGACAAAATGATCTTGGAAAACTGCAAGAGAAGGAAGACCAACCTGAATGTGGCATGGATTGACTACAAAAAGGCATTTGACTCTCTGCCACATGATTGGATAATAAAGTGCCTAGAAATAACAGGAGTCAGTAGAAACATCAGAAAATTTGTGCAAAGATCGATGGCACAATGGAAGACACAGTTGCAGATCAATGGTGAGAGCTGGGAGAGGTTAATATCAAGAGAGGAATATTTCAAGGAGATTCATTATCACCATTACTATTTGTTATTGCACTGTTTCCTCTGTCAACAATACTGAATAACTCAGGACATGGCTATCAAACATCAAAAACATCTGCCAGACTATCCCACCTCCTTTATATGGATGATCTGAAGCTGTATGGAAAAACATCATCTGAAATAGAATCGCTGCTCAACACTGTCCGTATATATAGCCAAGATATTGTAATGGAGTTTGGCTTGGACAAATGTGCCACACTTACTATCAAACAAGGAAAAATAGTGAAAACTGAAGGAATCAAGATGCCCCACGAAAATAACATTAAGAGTCTGGATGAGGAAGAGTACTACAAATACTTGGGTATCCTTCAAGCTGACAACATCAAGCACACTGAAGTCAAGAAAAAGATTAGAGGTGAATACATCAAGAGAGTGAAGAAGATCTTAAAGTCCAAACTCAATGGAGGAAATACCATAAAGGCAATCAACACCTGGGCAATCCAGTCATTAGGTACACAGCTGGAATAGTGGACTGGACTCAAGCAGAACTAAAAGCAATGGATAGGCAGACCAGAAAAATAATGACAATGAATCATGCCCTTCATCCACGCAGTGACATTGATAGACTTTATCTACCAAGGCAAATAGGTGGGCGTGGAATGCTACAAGTACATCAGATGGTTGAAGAAGAAAAAATGGCTTTGGAAGAATATCTGAAGAACAATGATGAAGATGCACTGAAATTAATATATCAGGAAGGCTTACTGACTACTGGAGAGACCAAACTGGCCTACAAGAAAGACCAAATGAAGAACAGAATAGAGGCATGGGAAGACAAAGCACTACATGGCCAATACATAAAAAAATAGCTGGGAAAGCAGATAATAATAAAACCTGGCAATGGCTAAGAGCAGGAAAATTGAAGAAAGAGACCGAGGGACTAATTCTGGCTGCACAAGACCAAGCCTTAAGGACAAATGCATACAAAGTCAAAATTGAGAAGACAGCAACAGACAATAAGTGCCGCCTATGCAAAGAAGCTGAAGAAACAGTGGACCACTTGGTAAGCTGTTGCAAGAAGATTGCACAAACTGATTACAAGCAGCGGCATGACAAAGTAGCAACAATGGTGCATTGGAAGATCTGCAAAAAATATCATTTGCCTGTAAGCAAAAACTGGTGGGATCATAAAATAGAGAAAGTCATAGAAAATGATAAAATTAAACTGCTCTGGGACTTCAGAATTCAAACAGACAAGCACCTGCAACATAACACCCCAGACTTAACAATTGTCGATAAGAAAGACAAAAAAGTCTGGATAGTGGACGTGGCAGTGCCTGGAGATAGCAGAATAGAAGAGAAAGAACTGGAGAAGATAACAAAATACAAAGACCTACAAATAGAAATAGAAAGACTGTGGCAAAAGCAAGCAAGGGTAGTACCAATAGTAATAGGCTCCTTGGGTGCAATCCCAAAACAACTGGAGCACCACTTGAACACCATTGGCATTGACAAATTCGCTATTAGTCAATTGCAAAAGGCGGCCTTATTAGGAACTGCTTCCATCCTGCGACGATATCTGTAATACCATCAAACATCCACATCTGCCTATCCCAGGTCCTGGGTAAGGACTCGATAGGTAGACAAAATGCCAAATCCAGTCTGAACATCTGGCTGACTGTGCGATGATCGATAATAATAATAATAATAATAAAGTTGGAAGGGACCTTGGAGGTCATCCAGTCCAACCCTGTGCTCAGGCAGGAAATCCTAAGTGTTCCATTTATTTTCTTGATTGTTTAACTTCCATTATGTTCCTACTCCATTCATCAATTCAATTTTTATCTTCATATTCCAAAGTACTTGTAATTCAAGGCTATTTACTTTATCACTTTCAAGCCTATTCACTTTCTTTAAATCAACAAACAATTAACGCTTCTTTTCACTGATATATATTATTCAATGATCTGCTGAAAAACCACAATTTGACCTGTACACCTCTTGCTGGGCACAAAGTTTCAGCGTGCTTCCCCAATTTGTTCATTATTATTTCTCATGAACTTTCAATTAAAATTATGCTAAGTATCTCCCCTGGCACACTTAACAAATTAATCTCTTTCTAGTTTTCATTCTTTCTTTACTGCAGTGCTCATCCAGTTCTCAGGCACAGATGGAGTGTTCACACACACATAAAATAAATTGCACAGCTATTATATTTCTCCAGTAACACCATCTACACTACAGTTCAGTGTTTTTCAGCCTTGGCAACTTTTAAGATGTGTGGATTTCAACTCCTAGAATTTCCCAGCCACTATGCTATGACTTTTTCTTTTTTATGAAACAATTTAGATTTATTAAGCTTTGGCCAAAGTTTTATAATAATGATGATGATGATGATGATGATGTTGGAAGGGACCTTGGAGGTCATCGAGTCCAACCCCCTGCTCAGGCAGGAACCCTACACCATTTCAGACAATTGGCTGTCCAGTTTCTTCTTAAAAACTTCCAGTGTTGGAGCATTCACCGCTTCTGGAGGCAGGTTGTTCCACTGATTAATTGTTCTAACTCTCAGGAAGTTTCTCCTTAGTTCTAAGTTGCTTCTCTCCTTGATCAGTTTCCATCCGTTGCTTCTCGTCCTGCCTTCAGGCGCCTTGGAGAATAGCTTGACTCCCTCTTCTTTGTGGCAGCCCCTGAGATACTGGAATACTGCTATCATGTCCCCCCTCGTCCTTCTCTTTTTAAAAAGCATTATATTGCAAGGAATAAATGTAGTAGAAAGAAATGTACTTTGCATATGTAAAATTATCGTGTTGAAGGAAAGGTTTCTCCTGTACCTGGACGTGAATTTCTGTGTGTAGGAAGCTTTTGAATGGGGGAAATATTCAGTACTGCCATGTTCCATATTCCAATTGCTATCAATTATTTTCAATCCAATAATAGTTCTACTACTTTGTTCTACCACTTCAGTTGTTGCTTTATTAAACTTAATGGAGGGGAGCTTCCTCTAAAAGCTGAAGCATTAAAATCATAAACTCTGATCAAAGTGCAGATCCCCTAACTCTAGAATGCTGTAACTCATCAATAGGTGAGATGATTTGGAATGATGAGTTAACATTCCACAATTGTGTTAAGTGAGTTTTTCAATGAAATAAATGCCTAATATAAGAGATTCTTCAATGTTACTTTTTAAATTATTTCATATAATATTTTAAATAGTTTATACATATTTTATAGTATCTTTCACATGTTTTTGAGTAACATGAACTTTTGAATTGTTTAGATTGTACCAAATTACCTATAAATCTAGAAGACAAAGTTCTTGAAAATAGTGCATTGTTATAAACTACTGATTTTCTTATATTCTTCTACAGAATGACAGGGAGGGAGTTCTTTACTCGATTTCCAAGTCTTTATCCATTTTTGCTCAGTCAATTGGAACAAATAACCGCTACAGCAGACAGGTAAGAAAACTCATTGTTATGTATCACAACAAATTGTTAGAAGTGGAAAATAGGATAGGATAAGATTTGCTGGGCATGCTTCAAAAATTATTTGGAAAAAGTACTTCAGACCTGGCATGACCATGTTACTTCTCTGCTGTTCATAAAAAAAGGCTTTTTGTTTTTTTAGATATCCTTGTTAGCCTGAATAAAAGTGTGGTTTCTTTAAGCAGTATTTATTACAGCTGATGATATTTTTGTCTGGAAGCCTGAAAAATGTAGGTTGCCTTAATGAATAGTTCTGAAGTATTTTTTTCCCTTGTCAATTTTTAAATTGCTCACAACTCTTTTAAACACTTTTTAAAGCAATTAATTGTTCTCTTCATTCTTATGTATTTTTAAACATAAAAGGATGACATTCTGCATTAAAATGGTTTTAAGATTAATTTTAAATTCAGTTTTATTTTAAAATATTAAGACAAAATTCACATTGATATATTTTTTTACCTGTGATTTTGAGATTCCGCTTTCCTATAGAGAAAAAAGTAGTTTTTAAAAATATGTTCTCTTATTGCAATGTAATTGGGTTATATGCTTGTGTGCATTTTAAAAGATATAAAAGTAAATAAATTTGGTCCATGACTATGAAATACTGTAAACATCTCGCCCTTTATCTATATGAACATTTAATTGAAAAAGCAAGATTATAATTTAGACAAACTTCGTATATTTTTATATAGTAAAACTAAAGAGTTGAAGCTTCACCCAAGCTTATTTCTCTTGCTTTTGGTCTTGAGTAAGCTGTATCCATCACCAATGGATGGCACATATTCTGCCCTTAGCATGGCTTCCTTTGTTCCTCTTATTTTGAGGTAAGTTACATTTTTAATACTTAGTTTTCCTTAAGAAAGTTCCCAATTAATTTTATTATGCAAAGTTTTTCATTCATTCCTTTGCAACATTTATTTTTTAGTAAATGTTAAGTATAATGTAGCACATATATGGAGATTCTCAGTCATCCAGGTCATGATTATCCCAAAGGTGCTTTTTCAAAAGGCTAAAGTGAGAGAAGATTCATTCTCCTAAGAGGCTAAATGAAGGGTGATTTTCAGTGGTGGGATTCAGATATGGGAACAACCATTTCTCTGTGTGGATGCTGCTTCCAGAAGTCCATTCTGGGCCTGAGCAACAAAAAATTAGTTACCGGTTCTGCTGAACTCGTGCGAATGGGCACAAACTGGCTGAATTCCACCACTGGTGATTTTACAGTAAAGTACTGTAAAGTACCTTTACAGTAAAGTACCTTTACAGTAAAGTACCTGCCTGTTCAATTACTTTATGGACAGCAATGATGGGTATGAAGATCCAATTGTATGGTCTTCCCATTGCCTTTCAAGAAAAGAAATGGTCAAAATCTAGCTTAGTTCAGTAGGAAACCCTGAGGGTCTGATTTTCTATCTGTGTTCTTACATATTTAAAACACAGGATAAACCATTTCTAATTAGGTTTTGAATACTTTCATTTCAACACATGGAATTTTTAATTTAGCAAAAATTGAATTAAAAATTTGCTGTGTTCTAAATGAATTATGCATAAATCATTTTAGTCACAAGTCTCAGTAATTTGTGTGGTAAGATCACTTGGTTCTCCTTATTAAATGAGACAACTCTTATTCAGTGTGATATTAAAATTGCATGTTAATCTAGTACTGTAGATACCATATATAAGCACATTTACCATAATGTAAATATCACATGATTCTTTTTTAAATTTATAACATTTTATTAGATTATAGAATAAAATAAAAAATACAAAAGCAAATAATAGGACACAGTGAGGAGGTAAAGGGGAAAGAAAGAAAATCTCTAGCACATGAAACACTATATGCCCTTACTTGCCTTTGTTAGCAGTTTTACTACATGTGGATTTCTATCTCCTCTGTTAAATGCTGCTAATTCTGATTTACCATGCATTTATTTTGATTGATTCATTGTTTGCTATAGGTTTTGCTTTAGGCATTATGCCTTCAGCAAAAGATATGGGTCTTAGTTCCATTGTATAATGGATAGGCTGTAGTTCTTAAATAGGGCTCAACTTTAATTGGTTTAAAAAGCAATCATTTAAACTAATGTATTGGTTATTGCTAATTTTAATCAATAGAAGGAAGAGTCAATAGAAGGAAGAGCTTAGTAATTGCATATTAGAAAAAAAATCCCAACAATAAGAGTGACTCAGAATGATGTTGGCTCCTGTTAGTTGGATGGTGTTCAAGTGGGGCTCCATCGTCATCTATTGTGGTTATTTTAATTTGGAATCCTGTATGGAGAAGGGTGTTGAAATGGCCCCTTTGAATTCCATTAAGCAATAATTTCATTCACTCCTTCATTTGTTCATTCATTCAATTAATTTCTGATTAATTTCAATCACAGAGTAACTCGGGGCAGTGTACAAAGAGATTAAAAACATATCAAAATAACAAGGAAGATCCAAAAGATCAAGCAGTTGCTTAAGAGAGAAAGAATGGCAAATAAAGAATGCAATTAGAAATATAGAATGGCCAAAACAATTGGGAATAAATGACATTTAAAAAATACTGTTCCCTACTGAATATTATGAGTCATTAAATCCTAGAGTTGGAAGGGATCAAGAAAGACTTCTACTTCAATATCCATCCCAGGATAGGAATCCTAGACCATTCCAGACAAATTGCTGTCTAATCATTTCTTGAAAACCTCCGGTGATGGAGCTGTTCCATCACTTAATAGCTCTTGTAGTCAGGAAATTTCTCCTTATTTCAAGATTGGCTCTCTCCCTATTGACTTCCACTTACTAGCTTTGTCTTTCCCTCAAGTACTATGAGAATTCTTCCATCCCCTCTACCCTGGAAAACATTCCATCATATATTGGAAGACTGCTATCATATCCCTGCTTAGCTTTTCTTTAAGCTAAACATATCAGCTTCCTTTAACTAATCTTTGTATGATGTAGTCTACAAATTAGAGTTCCTCAGTGTCCTTTTATTGTGTTGACTAGAACTAGACACAGAACTGCAGTGTAACTTGGAGTGGTACTATCACTTCCTATTATTTTGATATGATGTTTCTCATTCTGTATATGAGAATCCTAACAGTCCCAAATGTTTAGGGTAGTCTGTGTGGCTGTCAAAGGGAATACCTGCTACAACCTTTTTTTTTTTTTTAGCATAATGGTAGCATTGGAAAAGGGGCTAAAATGTACTTTCTCCTGCCAGGAAGAAGGTGACATGCATCACTAAGTCATAATTTATAGCTTATATCAGTGGTGGCGAACCTTTTTGAGACCGAGTGCCCAAACTGCAACTTGAAACCCACTTATGCATCGCCGAGTGCTGGGGGCATGGCCAGAGTGGGAGTGGCTACACAGTGGGTGTGGCTATGGTGGTCATGGTAGCATGGGTGGGTGTGGCCAGAATGGGCAGGGCCACCTCAATGTTACTCATGGGGACGGACACCTGTGGGAGCCAGACAGGGTTGGGGGAGATCCAAGAGGTCTCTGGCAGGTGGGACGGTGGGCAGGAGGCTCATCCTGCAGGGTGAGGCGAAGCAAGACAAGGTGAGCAGGGGGCAGGGCAGTAGAGGTGGTAAAGCACGCCCATGCCCAGCAAGCCAAAGGCTATCCCAAGCGGGGAAAGCCAGATCTCCATCGGCGCCATGGCCCTCCAGTCCCAGCTAGGCTTGTGTGCCTCTCTTCATCTCTGCTGGGCCTAGGTGGATCTGGCTTTCCTGCTTGGGGTGGTCTTTTGCCTGCTGGCCCTGGGTGTACTCTACCACCTCTAAGCCTAAGTGGGGCTTCCTAGCTGACTGCTTCATCTCCTTTGTGCTGGGCAGGAATGCAGCTCTGGGCGGTGGCCTAATGACCTGCTCGAGTAGCTGGTAGCCGTGGTAGGTACTGAGGTGTGCAGGGACGGGGGGAGCGGAGAAAAAAATCCTGATCCCACATAAAGTGGATTATTTTCTCTGCCATACATTTAAAGCTCTCTTTAAAGTTTACTTACTACAGAATGTGGATCCTTCCCATTCTGCTGCATCAAGCAAAACAGTCTGGCAGCTGAAACGCCCCTCCCATCCCACATAAGGAGGCTTCTCTCCTCTCTCCTTGGCTTTTTGCTCACAGACGGTCTAGCAGGGAACAGCCAAAGGGAATGGAGAAAAAAAACCTGATCCCATATAAGAGACAGGATTTTCTCTGCCATACTTTTAAAACTCTCTTTAAAGTTTACTTACTGCAGAATGACAATCCTTCCCATTCTGCTGCATCAAGCAAAACAATCTGGCAGCGAAACTCTCCCCCCCCCCGCCCGCCCATCCCACGTAAGGAGCCTTCTTTCCTCTCTCCTTGGCTTTTTGCTCCCAGATGGTCTGGCAGGGAACAGCCAAAGGGAGTGGAGAAAAAAAACCTGATCCCATGTAAGGGGCAAGATTTTCTCGAATACTGCTATACTTTTAAAACTCTCTTTAAAGTTTACTTACTGCACTGAGCTTTCTGCTCCCTCCTCACGGAGTGTTCTGCTCCCGCAGCCCCAACCCCCACATGGAGTGTTCTCCTGCAGCCCCAACCCCTGCACGGAGCATCCTCCCGCTGCCCCAACCCTTGGATGGAGTGTTTTCCCACCGCCCCAACCCCCGGATGGAGCATTCTCCTGCCACCCCAACCCCCGCATGGAGCTTTCTCCCGCCACCCCAACCCCCGCACGGAGCATTCTCCCACCGCCCCAACCCTCGCACAGAGTGTTCTCCCACTGCCCCAACCCCCGCACGGAGCATCCTCCCACTGCCCCAACCCCCGGACGGAGCGTTCTCCCACCGCCCCAACTCCCGCGCGAGCTTTCTCCTGCTGCCTCAACCCCCGCACGGAGCATTCTCCCGCCGCCCCAACCCTCGCATAGAGCGTTCTCCCACTGCCCCAACCCCTGCATGGAGCGTTCTACTCCTGCCGCCCCAAACTCTCGCATGGAGTGTTCTCCCGCCAACCCAACCTTCGCAGAGCACCCTTTCACGCTCTGCTTGCAAGGCCCTGTCCACTGTCTTTCAATTTCCCTTCTTGCTGCCGGATATTTTCCATCCATTCCTATGAGTCAGAGCTTTGGGTGGAGATCGGCCGCCTGTGCCCACCGGGCCTGCCCGCCAGCCCACACTTACCATGACAACCGGCCAGCACTGCCTCTTCTATGACTTCCCCCGCAGTTGGGACACAGCCAAGTTTGTCGCCGCTGGCACCTACAGGTTGTCCGCCAAGCGCAGCTCATCCCAAGGAAGGACGAGCTCCTCCTCCTCCTCTGCGAGGTCCCACCCTGCCTGCCCATAAGCAAGGTATGTCTGCACTGCTGCATGGGGGGAGGCAGCACCTCCCCAACAGCAGCTCCAGGCTGGCTGGTTTTGGCGAACATTTAGAGACCACGTGCGCTGGGGCGATGGCGCGTGCCCACAGAGAGAGCTCCGCGTGCTGCCTCTGGCACGTGTGCCATAGGTTTGCCACCACTGGCTTATACCACACACTAGCTCATTCATAAATTGCATTAAGAAAGAATAGAAAAATATTTTGAAAGGGCAACTTGGCATTAGTTCTCATTTGCAATATTTGATTAAAAGTAATACAAAAGTAACATTGCAAAACTGTTAATTTTCTGCCTTATGAGGTTTTAAAATATGTAAAGGAAATAATTAAATGAAGTTAATAAATGCTTAGTAATTTGTCAATTTAAAACTATGTCTTTTTGCTTTTAAAGCAAGTTAAAATGTTTTATCTAAATAGTTTTTAGGGGTGGCACAGCCAATATTTAATGAAGGGGCTTGAAACTAGATGATGTTATGCTTGAAACATTGAGTTTTCATCT